GATTTAGGTATTATAAACCTTATTAAAACAGACACTTATTTTGTTCAGCGAATCCAAAAATGCAATAATATACAGGACATTCCATTTAAAAAAACATAACTTTAATACCTTTAGAGCTTTTGGGACACCCTGTACATTACAAAAGTATTTTTTTAATGTGCGCTCGGTAGGCGTCGGACAACTCATAAAATTATACTTTTTAAAAATCAAACGGTTTAGCCGCAAACTTCCGTGCCGTATAGCGTGAATAACCCTGTATACATCGTGCGTTTTTGACACTGACTTGAAGATTGACAGATTGTGTGCCCATAGGACTTAATATGTTGGTTAAGTTGTGTGTTGTGTTTTCTTTATTTTCACATCAAAATATCGAGATTGTCTCGACGCAAGCTACTTGCTTATACGTTCTCTCTAATGAAAATAACTTGATCTGCTATCTTGCCAAAAACTTAGGCAAACACGGTCTCGTTTTGACAAATGTCACTGTCAGCCCCTCACGTCATATCAAACTCTTTCTCTCATTGGTTAAATCGCCAACTCCACGATCGAAAATTACCAATAAAAGGGGTTTTCCGCGGCGTAAGGGGACAAATAATTTTTGTAATAAGAAAAATCATTTGTCCCCTTACTCCGCGAAAAATCCTTTTCATTGGTAATTTTCGTTCATGCGGTTGACGACTTAAAAAAACCGCGACATCCATGAGTTCAGGCGGGTTTAAGTCCCGCCGAGAGCAGTAATTTTTTCAAATTTCAAAAACTATTTGTTTGCTTACGCCGCAAAAAAATCCCTTTCACTTTAGAATTATCGGACAACGAAAAACTCCTCATTTGAAAATAACCAACGGCATGGAAATGGAAACGTAATGGAAATGACAAACTTGCACGACAACGCCGGGTTTATAAATTGATGGGTGCACGCCCGTATGTTAATTTCTCGAACAGCGGCAACTGCGCACTACGAACGGCACTAACTGCAGAGTTAATCAATTCAGCTTGAGTATTCGCGAGTTCAAAAGTGCAAACGCCCTCTGGTGGCGAAATAAATAACTACACGATAGCTAGTATTTTGACACTTGATTTGCTGACATTGGTGTTTGTGATTCGTTCTAATCCACTTTTGCACAATTTTAAATAAATAGAAACAGATCGAAAAGTGTGTAAGTATTGTTTTATGTTATAGATGTCATCAACTCCAATAAGTAAACAAGTCGGACAAGGTCTCAACTGTCACTCGACACTAGTAATTTGACGTTTCGCAGCGCCACCATCGGTAGTTGAACTCGCGAATTGACAAATAAAATTGAAAATGAAGAAATGAATCAATGCAATGACAAAGTCATTTTGCAAGGGCCAATTTAGAAATTGATTGAGAAATATTGCTGATGGTTGATTGAGAAAAAAACAGTTAAAGTAACTTATTGACCAAAAGCCGCGACTACTGAGCGGATAACTTACCTGTGTGTAGACCCTTTATGACCATCTGATCCGCATTTTCCCATAATTCTTGAAAAGTCAGTAGATAGGTGAAGTGCTGGTTCTGCTTAACCACAGCACTGTACACAGAGAGAGGAATCCAGGTGCCGCCAGCAGGACCGGCGGCCCCTGGCGCAACTCCTGCCCCGCCTCGTAGCTCGCCACTAGAATAACCAGACGATTGGCTACCTACGGATCCGACCGACCCTGCAGGAGATGGGGTGGGAGACAACGGTGAAGGAGTTCCCTGTCCGGCTGGACACGGTTGGTCCATCGGAATAGCAGCATTCTGTAAGGATAACAAACTTTTAATTAACTACGTACGTTTATCGACAACTATTGATCCTAATAACCTAACTTATCAGTTTATTGACCATTTGTAAATTATAACTTTTAACAAGATCAGTCTCAAAGTCGTTTTAATGACTCATTTTTCCACATGCAAAACACAATCTTTTTAAACAGCGCAAATATTATGCAAAATATGCAACTTATACCAACATCATTCGCGAGTACAAAAGCTCAAACACCCCCTGGTGGCTAAAATCATAACTACACGTTAACTAGTAATTTTGATACTTGTTTTGTTGACATTGGTGTTTGTGATTTGTTTTGTTGCGTCCTGCTTAGAGCTTTTGCAAGATTTTAAAGAAATAGAAACAGATCGAAAAGTGTGTAAGTATTGTTTTATGTTATAGATGTCATCAACTGCAATAAATAAACAAGTCTGACAAGTCTCAACTGTCACTCGACAACGAGTAATTTGACGTTTTCCAGCGCCACCATCGGTAGTTGAACTCGCGAATACAGTGATAGCAACTGTGGTTGATGTCAGAAGTACAAACGTCAAAACATGACATTGACATCAAATTTAAATATGAAATCGATTAGGATAGAAAAGTGCTCGGTATTTAAACGCCTTCTCGACCGAAGTATATATAGAACTGTTTTTACTACTAACACGGATAATTGCCTTAATTGATTTAATTAGATTATGAATTCCCCATTAATTTTTTAAGTGTCGCAATATTTGACAGCCTGACGTTCAGTTGTCAAACTGCCGCAATATAATTTATTATTATTATTATTATTAGAGGGCGGAAAATAGGCAAAGTGCATATCTATGCATTTTTTGCATATTTTATCCAATTTCATAAAAAATTGCATATATCTAAAAAATCTGTATATTTGTGCATGTTTGAA